ATTTTCTAGTCTATTTGGGACTTCTTAATGGTAACAAATCTGATTCTAGCATATTTAGGATGATAATTTTTGGATTTTTATTATTTTCTTCTTAGTATTTGGGTTATTATTACTTATTTGGGTTAATTGTAAGTTGGCTTTATATAAGTCCACCTAAGGGGGGTTCCATTAAGGTTTCTTTAAGCCTAGAAATTAAGGTTTCTTTAAGTCTAGAATCAGTATAAATAGAGGCATAATTAAACATGTAAGGTAAGACAATTCAGATTAATAAAACTACTTTTTTGCTACACTTGTTGTGTGTTGGTGAGATAATCTCCCTTCTATGTTTCTCTAAAGAATTAAAAAACGACTTATCGAAGAACAATTGTTTTCGTGATGTCATCTTTATACTTCTCGTTCGTGATTCAATATTTATTGGGGGAGGATTTTCTGTTTTCAATAATGCTGGTGTTTAGATATAAATTATCTTTGTGTCATACTCCTATTAAAATTGATTTACTTGATTTTCTTGAAATTAATATCTTTATGTATGAATTATATGACCATACATGATTACAAGATTTACATTATTTGACATCAGAGTCTTCAAATGACTGTAGTTAATGTGGACTTTATAACATGACAGTTAAAGTAGTCTTCTGTCTTCTTTACTCCTTTTGATCATGTCAAACCTGGTAGAGCAAGCGCGCTGCAGGTTTTACATGATTACTAAACATGCCTTACTTTTGGATTTTTCAAGGATCTTGAGCAAGCAAAGACTTTGGTAAGGCCAGGATCACTGTTTCTGGATGATTTATCAAAGGCAAACAGTTTCTCCACGACGGGCTATGGGTCAGTCAAACGAGTATATGTTATCTGCGATGAAGATTTAGCGATACCAGTAGAGTTTCAACGCTGGATGATTGAAAACAGTGCTGTTGAAGAAGTTATGGAAATTGAAGGTGCAGACCATATGGCTATGTTTAGCAAGCCACAAGAACTCTTCCATTGTCTCTCGGAGATGGCAAATAAACATGCTTAAGCTGTCCTTATCAGCACTCCTAGTTATAGTGGTATGCAGATATATGTATCCATCAGAGACAAAAAAGAAAAAAGAAAAAGGACATTAGGTTATTTAATGAGTGACATTAATTGCTCACTTGGTCAGTACAATGAAGAGAAAAGCTATATTACCGTGTATTGTAACGGTAGAATGATGATTTTGTTCTGAAAAAAATCATTTAAATGCCTTTTTAAGGTAAAATGTTTTATTTGTTATTTTTTAATTGTTAAGGGTTGGTGTCTTTCCATTTATCTATTGCATAGTTAAATAATTTTAGTATTCTTTAAAAGCAAATAATTGGCTAACTATTATCTGGCATTTTATATTTTTTTTGGCTATTGTATAGTTATTATATTACCATGGATTTAAATTTTTTAAAACTCGACTTGAGGAGCTATGTTGTAATCAAAAAGATTTTTTTTTTTTTAATAATGCTTTGATCTTGAGGGGAGGATGATTTATTTGAAAAAAAAAATCTAAAAAGTTGTTGATACGTGCATTGTATGCATCAGCATGTTAGCTACTTTGTAGTTTTCATGAGGCATATGATTATTAAAAATTTAATTCTGTAACATTATTTAATTTATATCAGCTTTTTTAATTTTTTTGTACGGTACATGTATTCGTCGACATTTAATATATTACCAACATCATTTTTTTTTCATAATTTTTTTGTACGGTACATGTATTCGTCAACATTTAATATATCACCAACATCATTATTTTTTTTCATTTTTTCCCCTCTTTCCTCCTACAAAGTCATGCCCGACCCTCTACTTTATCATATTAGCCCTTGAAGTTTGTTTTTTTTTTTTTTTTGTACTTGATTTTTTTATATTTATTTGTTTTGTTTTAATTCATTTATCAAATTTTCTTTTGTTTTTAATTGTATCCTCCTTTAATTTCATTGTATATCAAACTATATCCTCATTATTTTGATTTTTTTAATTTAAGATAGTTTTTGAATTTTTTTTGTTTTTCAATTTCACCCCTTCATTTTTTTTCTTTCATATTTGATGTTCAATCTTTCTTCTTTTTTTCGGTTTTTTTCTTTAGTGATTTTTTTAATTTGAGAATTTTTTTAATTTTATTATTTATCATTAAACTAGTTGGCAATTGAAATTTTTAATTCAACTTGGATTTTTAATTGATCTTGTGTCTTTAATATATTCATAATAAAGTAAAAGTAATGATAAGTTTTTCTATATTAGAAAAAATATATAAATATTTTTTTATGTTAGAAAAAAAAAATTATATAGCCAGCGGGCCCTCACCAATCTTGTTCTATAGCTAAATCAAAATGATAATTGCTCTAATTGGTTCCTTTTCATAATTCTATAGCTAATGTTCCCAGTTGGATAAGTATTGGACGTACCAAAATGTTCAAAATGAACAGTGAAGTTCAATGATGCCTTGGGGTCTCGGACAAGAAGAAAATCTGAGTAATTGAATTGTTGACGCTACAAAATAGAAAAGAGCTAGGCGAAAACTTAAAATTAATAATATCAAGTGATAAATTCAAAGACCCCAGGCCTGTACGTAGGGAGCACACGTTTCTCGTCATTGAATTTTCAATCTAACTGTCAGACATTTACGGTAAAAAAAGGGAGCGTTAGTGTAACCAGTGGAGGAGCCACAACCAGGATTAAGAGGACAGTTACCCTTTTAATTTTTTTTTTAATATTTTTTATATTAAAATTTTAATATAATAATTTAACAAGTTTTTTTTTGAATTATTGTTTCTATATCTTTTTCTTCTATAATTT